ATTTGGGGGTGAGAATGAAAACCAGAGACTCACCACCAGCCAGTTAGAAGTGAGGAAAGCTTTTGGATGAGGGCCCCAGGGTCACCATGACCTTGATGATGGAAAATCTATACAGACGCTGGTGTTAACCTACAATAGTCACCTCCAAAGGAAGGAAGGAGTCTACAACACCACCTATCAGGCATTTATAATGCCGTCCTGGCAGGTTTACAACCAGTAACACTCTTTTTAACCTTTACATACTGTTTCAGGTCAAATTTGAGCTGTTTTGACAGCAGTAGAAATACCTTTAACGTCGTTATTTTAGCCTCAAATTTGATGACTTCTCCTGAAGTGACCCAAAATACACAAAAATGAAAACCAAATGTTAGAATTTTGTACAGATGGTGCATATTTTTGTACTGTTTCAAGTCAAATGTGACCCGTATATCCATTGAGATGGATTTTAGATCCACCAGTGTGGGTCAAATAAAGAAAAATGGTCGTTCTAGGGAATCTGGAAACTGTTTTATGTGTATTTTTTATCAACATCAGCTATTTAGACATTCAAAATAGATCTGAAGTTTAACATTTGGTATAGACACTTACTATAAGTGAACTCTTTACCCAAACCACACTGTGAAAGCATAAAGTATGAACAGTACATAAGCCTTAATAATCAAAGAGAGAAGTCCAGTTACTTTCTGCTGAAGCTAACAGTGTAGTCAGTACATCCACCAAGTTTCACTGCTGAGTGAAAGGTGACATGAAGCGCTGCTCGCAAACACACCGACCAAAGGAAGAGTTTCCTACAAAGCGATCAGAGCATATTAATACATAATGACTGGATCCTGTCCCGGAGTGTCAGCTCTGAGCTGAGCGACGGACTGAGTGAACGTGGAGGCAGACGACAAACCGACAGCAGCAGCAGTGTTTTCCCGCTCAGGTTTGTATGCAGGACTGAAAAGAGGAGTCTCCAGAGACTCCACTGAGCCGAGGAGGGGGACAGATGTGATTCATTCATCATTTATCTCCATCGGTGGGACTTTTTTTTTTTTTTCTTTCTTTCCCCCCACTGTGTCGCACTCCCACGGGGACCCCCGTCCTCATCCTCATCCTCATCCTCATCCTCATCCTCACTTCTCTGACATCAGCAGCGGCAGCATGAGACGATCAATGACTTGAAAGATGATGATAATGATCGTGTTGTTCACTTTATCTGCGTCGTGGCTGATTTGTGTCATTATGGCATCAAAACGTTATCAGTGGCTGAAGAAACTCACACAGCTTAGTCCACAAAAACCTCGACGAAGCTGCAGGTTTGATCGATTAACTGACTAGTTGTCAACTGTTAAACGGAAAGGCCGACTCGTGTCATCATCAGTTAATCAAAATCTGGTTGCAGCTTTTTAACTGTGAGTATTTTCTGCTTTCTTTCCTCCTCTATGACTGTAAATAACTCCTCAGGCTGTGGACAAACCAAGGCTGTTGTCTTAGGCTGTAGACCAAACAACTAATTCATTATTAGAGAAAACATTTGACAGATTAATCAGCAAAGAAAATAATCAATAGCTGCATTAACTTTTATGAAATGAAAGAAAAATGCAGCAAAAATCACATTTAAATCATCAAGTAGGGTAAAAACATTTCCTCTTTTCAGTCCAATAAATTATTTTAAGTTACTTTTATTCGAGATGATGACAGTTTCATTCATTTATGTGGTTTTAAATGGATCTGATGTGTGTTCAGGTTAGGAAAAAAGGTGAACCTGCTTTGAAAAGCCAATGAAATGCTGCATTACTGTTCATCTGAAGGACTTGTTCTCCACATCAGCTCTGACACAGAACCTGTCCTGATGGAGTTTGAAGGACCTGGCTTGGAGTTGCATTGCAGGACTCAGGCTGCTAATTATTCATTTACTAACCACAGATTTTGACCAGTCTCTTGGGAATTCTTTAACCTTCAGCAAAACTGCAGGAAAGTCCTCCTTTAATTCAGCATATGTCACTTCAATAAACTTACACACATCCCTGCATCGGCTCAATCACAGGCTGGAAACTATCGCAGCCTTTTCATTAAACCTCCACCATCGTTACTATGTGAGAGCTGAGCTCAAGCCTGGAGATAATAACGCTGTTATATTCTCCTCCAGCTGTTCTCCGGCAGCTGTTTCAGAGGTGGAGAGCCGCAGCCGGATCCCACTCAGAGACAATCACGACATCAGTTTGCGTAACGAACCTGTATCCACCTCTGGGAGCCAACACTCCCTCGGAGCCGCTCTCATCCTGCTGCAGCCACAACCTTTAGGCTATTTTCGGCGTTTATGAGCTCCCCCCCCGGCCGCTTCCCTCCCAGCAGCAGCGGCGCACCTCTCCGCTGGATGCTGGAGGTGAAACCGGGAGGCTACGGGACAGCTCGAGTCGCTGCGCGTAAAGACGTAGCGCCGAGGCGAGTTTGGAAACCAGCTCGACATCTGCATGAGATCGAGATTTAAAGACAAGTCCGGAGCTGTGCCGTCCTTTTACGCACAGCTCGCGTCACCAGAAAGAAAAAACCTGCTCCACAATCTGCTGCAGTGGAAGTTGCGCACCGCTCAGGCGCACAAGTTTTGCACAGAATGAAGGTGATTTAATTATTTTTTTTAACGGTACTCACTCAGAAGCAGAGCAACAGGCAGGAAGAGGAGGCACGCGGAGTTCATCAGAGATGCCATCATGACCCGACAGTTCGTCCTCGCAAGTTTCAGGTTCGCAGGAATCCCCCCAAGTTTTTCTTTTTTTCTTTTTTCAGTAGAGAAAAAAAAGGAAAAGACAGTCCGATGTCGCCCTCCTCGGTGCTGGTCGAAGCGCTCCTCCCGTCCTGATCGCAGCTCTGTACTCCACTGTGAGAGAATCCACGGCGCGTTCATCCGCTGAAAGGGAGGAGGAGGAGGAGGAGGAGGAGAGGAGGAGGAGGAAGGTCCACAGCAGAGTCCCCGATGGGCTGCACACGATCTGGACGTCCTGCGTTCAGAACCAAACTTTGGTTACAAAAAAAAAGTACAGAAATATTAGCAGGAGACACCCAAGATACAGCTCCTTAGAATGAATCAATGAATGAATGAATCAATCAATCAATCAATGAATCTATGAATCAATGAATGAATCATTCAAAATCAAACTTTGGTTAAAGTACAGACATGTTAGCAGCATATTGCAGGAAAAAAAACCCGGGATACAATCCCACCAAATGAATGAATGAAGTTTCTGTGTAGATATTTATGACGTTTTTTTTAAAAAAAATTTTATTTAAAAAAAAAAAAAAAACATGTTCTGTCTCTTTCCCTCCCTTCAAATAGACACTAGAATATAAAGTATGTAGATTTTTGTTTTAAAGAAAATAAACTATATTTGTATCTTCTCTTTCCTTTGCTTAAATTTTCTTAAAATTCACACAAAAACAAAGATAAAGATAAAAAATAAAAACAAAACACAAATACACAAATATGAATAATATTAATGAAATGAAATGATGAATGAAAAATACTTTATTTATCCCAGAAGGGAAATTCAATCATTAAAAAATAAAAAATTCAATTAATGTACATTACATGTGTTGTTATTGTATTAATAATAATATCAGTAACAATAATAATACTGATTCATTTGTTCATTTGGTTTTTTTACCCTTTATCTTGTTTTTTTAAATTTTTTTTTAATGTAATATTCAACAGTTTAACCCTCTCATTGCCTTCATATTTACTGACATCTTTCATCCTTGGGTTTTATTTGACCCCAGCAATTTAAATCCCCAGAAAATTATCCTAATCAAAATTGTTGCCCAAGTTTATGTGTAAATATCCCTTTAAATAAAACTGAAAAATATGTCAATGACTTATTTAGAGATGTTAAACATTGAGTGGTGTCAAACTGACCCCAAAGCTTAACAGGAGGGTGTTTGAGTTTATAACAGCAGAGATGCTCTGAATGTCAGTAGAATTTATACACAAGCAGCAGCTGTCACATGACTCTCATTTACAGTAAACTTGTTCATAGATGTATTTACTTTTATATAAATCTGACTTATTCTGTAGTGAAACCATTTATTTTTTTTATCAGTTTAAGTTAAATGGCTAATTTTGATTGTATCAGACATTAAATTGAAGATTTGCAAAACAGCTGTCGTCCAAGAAAAGACTTGACGTCTAACATTAGCCAGTAGTAAACGGTCAGTGAAGATATTATTAGATGAATACAGCTTCTTTATACACATATTTACAGCACAGAGGTCGATCCCAGGATTAATCTGAGATCCAGATCTGACGAATGAAGACAGAAACAAGGAGAAATAAAGTTCTGCTGCAACGATCTGTTCAGTTCTTCTGGTAAAATATCAGACAGCTGAACTTTTATGAGCCTCAAACACACTTACAGAAGCTTCAACTAAACAGTAAAAATTACATTCTTTTGATCAGGTTTTTTAGACAAATGATCCCTGCAATTAATGGATTATTATAAACGACATTATGAGGCAACTTGGTGGTTCCCAGCATGTAAACAAGTGTGAGGCATCTGAACATCATCACTAACTTTAACCAGTTTTGAACAAATGGAAGAATTTGACAAGTTAAAGGGAAAAACTCTCTTTTTATTCAGTATTAGTCCTCGTGGTTCCCAGCATATGGGGTCAGCTTCCTCTAAACCTGAGATTATCAGCAGCAAAACATCCATTTGAACTTTCTGAGCCTCTAAAAACTGAACAAACTGGAGATGTTTAACAGCCATGAAGAGCCCTAATCACATTAGCACGAGGTCTGACGAGCCCAAAAGGTTGCAACCACTTGTTAATAATTCACTCGTATCATTTATGTATTTTTTATGCACAACCTTCATCTGAAACGCCGTTAAATGAATTTAATATGAGGCATTGTTTCCTTCTGAACTGTCCAAAGTTTAAAGCAGCAGAAACTTTGAACGCACGCGTAAAATAGTTCAGAAAGCAGCAGCTGATTTCCTCAAACACACACAAACAAACACACGCAGTCAGTTGAACAAGTTTTCTTTTTATTCCAAAATGTTTAGGGTAAAAGAAACTGTAAAAGATACAACAGAAACCATCCAAGCTGAAGGGGAAATGAACACAATGGAAAAGAGAGGAGGAAAAAAAAAAAACAAAAACGAAGAAGAACGTCCAGCTTCAGCTCCAGAGCTCCCAGTACGAAGCAGCAAACCCCAGTCCGCAACTGGTAGTAGTCAAAATGTGAGATGTCCGTCCGAATCCACCGTCGAAACGTTTGACAACAGGTTCCGTTTGAGCCTCGCCACAGATTTTTAAATGCTTGGAAAAAGTTAACCGGTGGTGGTGGTGGTGGTGGTGGTGGTGGGGGGACAGATAAAATACAGTAAGGCACTTGCTAGACAAGATCATTCTAAACACACGGGTCGAATTAACAGAACTTTTATTTTACAATCAGCGAAAAACAAAAACAACGCGGCCACCCTGTAGTCAAACCCAGACGTGTGAGTGAGCGTTTGCAGTCGTTCACTCTGAAGACCGACAAACGGTGCGTTCACAGCCGACAGTCTCAGTGCGGGAGCAGGAATGACTTGTGAATCCTAAAGCGAGGCCGGAGCGTCCGCAGCCCGACCGAGTGGCGCCTCCTGGAGCCCAAGAGGAGCGACTGCACGCTGAGCTTTCACAGATGTCATTTGGAATATCCCGGTTAAAAATAACAGCATCAGTAACAATCAGGTGTAGTTTTTATTATCAAGCTCCTTCGAACAAACTCTTAAAGCAAGTATACATGGCTTACAAATGCTAAATGTTGATATAAAAAAAGAGGGGAGGAGGAGGGGGGGCTGAAGAAAAACAAGACGAGGAGGGAGGTGGGGTCAGAGCTGTACACATGGACGGCTTCGACGTGGAGCTCCAAGCATCTCGGGTTTTCCATTCTTTTCCAGCCAAACATCAAAAAGGTTATTTATTTCACTTAAATCTTATTTAATCCTTCAGAAACCCTCAAGGCCGGCTGAAGAAACTAGATATGCATATGAAGAAACTATTAATAGTGTTGTTTTTTTTATTATTATTATTATTTTTAAAAAGGTGTCCAAAGTATTAGGAAACAAGCGAAACACAACGCAGCTTTGGGTGTTACAAACTTTTGGTTGCCCGGATTAAGCTTTCAAACAAAAACTGAACTGAGAGCAGCATAATCCTGCGACAACAGAACTCCAGGTTAGCAAAAAGGATGCTGCTGGTCTGTGTTGAAGAAGAAGAACAACAAAAAAAAAAAACAAAGCCTGCTGTTTGCTCTTAAGGCCAAAATACAAGGCGGCGCTTTTGAGGCGAAACATGTTCCTCGAGTTGCTCAGAAGTAGATCCCGGATCCTCGAAAACACGTCCGACGGAGGAACACAGCGGAACAGAAAAGGATACTCGCGGACCGCTCGGCTGAACATTCTTTGAGTCTTATGCACATTTGGATGAAGTGACATCGAAGGAGTGTCGGGTTTTCACCGTGAAGGGGCAGATTTGTTGTTTCTCTCGGGGGCAAAAACAGCAGCGAGGTCCGGAAGGTATCTACAGCCAACTCAAGAGTCTCTCGAACAGAAATCAACAACAATCTTTCTGTCCAGACCTTATTGTCTTGCAGGGAAGTGGGGGAGAGAAAAAAAACAAAACAAACAAGAGTAACAAAAACTGTCTATTCTTAACTTGACACTTCACTGTGTGCAGGGAAGGAAGGAGGGAACCGGGGGCAGAGAAAGGTGGGTTTTGGGTTTCGTCACAGGCTCTGAGTGGAGCGAACCCCGTCCTCGTCGCTTCCTCCTCTGAAACATTCGTGGAGAAAATGGCGGGCGACGTCTACGAGGGGGAAAAAGAACTAGTGGTTGACGAGTCCCTGCAGCATCATCATGAGGCGCCGGGCCCTCTTGCTGAGCGGGCTGTGGGGGTCCTGCTGCAGGAAGGTGAAGAGCTTGGGCCGGACCTGGGCCAGCACCGAGGACATGTGGTCTCTGGTCAGCGGGTCGCCGTGGTCCAGGTTCATTAGTGCGTCCTCCAGGTAGCTGAGCAGGGACGCAGAGAGGAGCAGACGTTAGCAAAACCAAAGTTAAAGCTGTTTTAGACAAAGAGCTACAGTCATGACTTATGATTCATACAAAAATACCCACAACAGTGACAGAGTGTCATGATGCTGTAACTGTCAAACCAACGCAAAGTAAGACACAAAGACTGACTCTTAGCTAACAGCAAGCCACCAAACTGTCCAACTAACTATTAACCAGAACGTACAGTCGTGACTCGATAATCCGACACTAAATGTAAAAGCTTCTTTTATGTCGGATTGTCAAGACGGAGGTCGAGATACAAGGAGGGCTTGATGCTTGAATGGTAGTTTGTTGTTAATATTTATTGTTCATAGTTGTTATAACAACTAGTAGGGCTGGTCTGAATACCACTTTCTGCTCTCTGGATATTCAGGCTCCATTAATGATGAATATTTGAATATTCAGCGCGGTCAGGTGGGTACTTCCACCCCGGGGGAGCGTTCCGACGGGGTGGAAGTGGCCGGATCGCACAGGCAGTACTCTGCTGCTGATGCTAGTTTAGTTAGCGCTCACACTTCTGTTTCCACCATCGGTGGTGGTGGCACCACTTCCCCGCCGCCACCATCCATGTTTACTTCAGTAAACACTGAGCACGCTCGCTGTGTGTGACGTCGTCGTGTCCTCTTCTGCGCATGCGGGACACTTTTGGGTCGTATGAAGTTCACACAACAGATCACATACAAGTCGCATTGAACTGGAAATGTGAACAAACTCACAAAAAAATCAGGTTTCACAAAAAAATCCAAACTGAGCATTAAGTCCTGCAGCCTGAACGTAGCCAATCTGTGGGATTGTTCAGTCAGATAATACGCTGTTATCCTGATTGGTGACATAAAGGCTGTTGGTATGTTAAGGCTGTTTTTTATGGGTTCTGTTCACTTTTCATAAAAACCTGTCGGATAGCAGGTTTAGGATTGTTAAGGGTCGGATTGTCAAGTCACGACTGTACTTAGGATTTCCAGTCAGAATTCTGTTTATGATTTAACTACTACTTTACCAACAGCAAAACAAAAACACCTCTGCCTGCATGTGTGACCTTACATCGGACTCAAGTCGGGGTTAATTTACAATAACAAGGAATCAGTGAGTTTACTACTATTGTTCTACATGTGTAACTATGTGCAGCCCTTCCTTCCTCTCTTTAGGTCCTGCTGCCGTTTGATGCTGCAGCGATTTAACAAACTCAGAGGAAAGACTCCTACAAACAGCCGGAAGCAACAAAGTCGACCTCAGCTCCTGTTGCTCTGCTGAACAAGTAGATCTACTTTCTGTTTTATTTATTTATCGCTGTCTCTTTGCTATTTAGTGTCGTATCTGAGCGACTGTTGCACAGACGGATTGCTTTACTGCTGGCTGCATATCCCACAGGGGTAATAAAGACTCCTGGAACCTTGTTTTGTTAAAACCCAGATTACACTCATGACGACAGAGTCATCTGTCTTCCTCACTGTAAAGTTTTATTTTTACAATCATTTCACTTTGTAATAGATGTGATATTGTAGAGATGTTTGGAGATTTTAGCAGCAAACTGTGTCTTTTGCCCGCGCTGATGTTTTTAGACCAATATTGGTGCTGAAACGTGGGTAAAGTTTTCTCCAAATCATCTCACACAACTACATCGGCCGTGCATTCCAATCTGTTAACGGACTTGTGTCGTGCTAAAAATAAAATCTTTGTTCCACTAGTAAGACTGCCGTATGTGAAGCTAACATGAAGTCAACACAATCGACACAAACCGTCAGACAAACGGAAAGCAAAGCAGGTGTGAGAAGATCTACGGGGGGGAAGGTCCAATAAAGGAGAAAAAGTCGGTCCAGTCTCACAAAGAAATATGCAACAGCTACTTTGGTTCAACGTGTAGAAATGCACGACAGAATTGGGAGACTGAGGCTTTTGTTAAGGGGGAAACAACTGGAGCTTAGTGTTCACACGTGTATTCAACCCAACTCACGTATTTACTCCTAAACCTGAGTAGCTTAGGTGTGGATAATTACCACAGCAGTTTGCAGGGTAAACACAAACTCCACTCCTACTTACTGCCTGATTTTACAGCATTTATTGTGAGATTAAAGTGTTTTTGTGCCGTGGACCAGCGTCGCTTTTATTATTTCGGTGCACGGCTGCATTGAAAAGGTCGTTCTTGTGCCAAATCACGAGCCTTGAGTCAGTGAGACATAAAAGCAGCACAAGGATAACTCGACCAGACTTTGCATTCTGACCCTCTGAGCAGCTGCAGAGGACAGACAGCGAGGTCCGCTCTCAACTATGGCTGGTGTTTTAATGCCACGCTGCGTCCTTGGTGGTGTTTCTGGCTTCCTGCCTGCTGTGTCAACGCAAGCGCACCTTGCTTTTCTTTTTTTTTTTTCCCCTTCTTCCCTCCGACAGAAATTGAGTTTCGCTCGTTCTCACCTGCGTCCCGTCCCGTCACTGCGTTTAATTCCTCCATTAATAGTTTTAGCGAGACATCTGGTGGCTTTAGCGTCCAGCAGGACAGAGTAAATGACCATTCATCAGCGGGGTCCGGAGCGCTACCTGATCCGCTCTAACATTAGCGCCGCTCCAGCTGGTTTGCTGCCAGGTCCCCACGACGCACATTACGGCTCCATCAAATCCCCATCGCGGGGCCGACGCTCTCTTTAAAGGGGCTTTTAATGTCACCGCGCAGATACCCGATGTCTCTCTGCGAGCTAATGTCTGACAGGCCTGGAAGTACGCTTTTGTCCAAACACTTCCAACACATATTTAATTGCTCTTCCATTTGTTCAGCAACGCGCTCCTCATGACCGACTAACGATCCTGCTAAGACCGCGCTTTTCGCGGATAATGACGCCCCTCTGTAGTCCAAACAATCCTCCCGCTGCTCTGGGAGTCTTTTATGGATTCTTCTGAGGTATTTCCCATCAGAAGTGCAGGAAAAGAATCCCGCGTAGACAGCTCCGCGTTTGATGTGAATGATGATTTACTGCTCGCACGCTGCACTCCTTATTGCCTGATTTCTATTTACTCGTGAGAGCAAGAAGTTTTTCCTGCATAATTAAAATAAAATGAGGCATTAAGGCGAGCAATAATGATGCTAAAATGTGCCTTTTTTTTTAGAAATTTAACTCCATCCTTTCACAATCCGTTGCTGCTTCTGTCCTAATCTCAAACTGAACCACGCCCTGCTGCCCTCGTATATTTCTACAGATGGCACCGAGCAACACCACAGGGCCACATTAGCAGCTGCAGCGTAAACCCAGAACCAGACAGATGATCCGGACACAGATCGGTGCTGTAAAGGGACACCGAGAGACCCAACAAAAAAAAAAAGGGTTTGCAGGGGGGAAGACAAAGCGGAGAGGAGACAGAAAGGACGAAGCGCTTTCTGACACTTTCACAATAAGAACAACAGACTGAAGCGAAAGGAGTTGAACTAGAGGATGAAAAATAGAAGGACGCCTGGAGAACGGGGTGATAGAGAGCATCCTAAAAACTGCAGCGCTATTCATGGGATCATCTGCGCTCCCTGGACGGCCATGCAGCGGGGCTACAGACGGAGCAGGGTGGTGAGGTCAGCACTTTAGCACCGTTTAGCACTCGGGAGACGGAGAGTAATGGACGCGCGATGGAGATTAGATGGGGGAGCAAAAGTTTAGGCAAAGAGCGGCTCTATTATTACTGACGGAGGGGGAAGCACAGCAGCCAGACAGAGCGGGAGGGAGAGGCGTGTAATGCAATTCAAAACCTGACATTTCAGGGAAGAAGTGAGCTTGTACAGTTCACAGGTTTCTGATTAAAACCAATTATTGCCGCTGCATCGCCAGGCAGGTCTTACATCAAACTAGGACGGTGTGAGACAACGTTGTAATGAAATTAGGAGAAACCCTGCAAGTGCACAGGTAAGAACGATCAGGATCTGTATTCTAATTAAACCTCAATGTGGTTCTGAGATGGAAACGGGAGGATACGGACGCACTGACTGAGATGCAGCACAAAAACGTCTGTATTAATATTAACGTTTTAACTACATTTATACAAATCAGAATCCTCCTGAACTGTCCCAGTCCATTACTGCCACAGAGTCAACCATTGGGGACTTCCTTGTGTCATAAAAGTCCTGGAAAAAGAATATAAATGCTCAATTAAAGTGGAACTGTCACAAATTCAGTGACTTTTTACTTCAGATTCCTGCAGTGACGATAAATCCAGATGCTTTTTTGGATCAACTTCTGCAACTTTGTGTAGAAGAGAGCCTCAAGTTGTCTCTGAGTGATAATTTGACATGAAAATACTGCTAAATTATCAGTACAGTTGTTGTTTTTAACGTACATGTATGGTGACTTTGTCAGTCGACGTTACATTTTAAAAATCAGGAGTTAGTTTAGCGTCTTCCTGGGCTGAGTTTCAGCCACTATTTCATGCTCATTCTGTTATTTGACATGGAAAACAGTAAAATCTGGAAACAAGAACAGCTCTACTGGGAATTCGGTTGTAATAAATACATGTGAGCACAGAGAGCAGGAGAGAAGCAACCAGGCTGGGTTGCACCAGATCTTACAAAAACTCCAGGTGTTGTGGTTACTAGGGCTGCAGAAAACAGCTCAAATGGATACGACTTGGTACCACCGTGGCCCTTTTATTTTAATTTTATTTGACGTCTATTTAACCAGGAAATCCTCTGAGGTTAAGGAAGATCTGGCCAAGAAGGCACAACATTATGAAGCTACAAATATCCAAAACCACAGTAAAATCTAACTGTTTTCTCTGGATGCGTTTTTTAAAAGTGGTTGGAGTTTGGCTCAAACATGTGGATGAAGTTACACTTAAACTGGAAACTATACGTGCATTTCATGTGTCTATAATCAAATATCACACAGTTAATCTTCCTAACGTGAAAAACAATATCAAACGGCTACTTTAATTACTGATATGAGACAGTTAAGATGCATTTTAGTTGGTCCAGGACAAGCAAAACTAAGCTAAAAGTGCCTCCAAGTAGTCGTGCATTTGTTAAAGAAACCCAAGAATATTATATTTCTTACGTACTTATGTGGAGAAAAAGAATGGGCGAGAGAAGAGAGGCTGAGTGCATCTGATGCGCCTCTTGCATCATCCTTCAATTACAACCGGGTTCACAGACAGGAAAACAAAACACTTAAAATGTTGTTCAGCCGCCACGCGCTGGATTTCTCGTAGATGAGTTTAACTGGTGAGAATATCGTAATGAAAAGCAGCGTCCTGTATGACTTTATTATGAATTCTGCCTTTGAGCTCTTTCTTTTTTCTGCTTTTAATATATTTTATTCTAAATGTGTTTATTTTGATGCGATTCTTGCAAGACTTTGTTTGTTTATTTGATCCCATATGAGTGTAAAGAAGCCTTCCGAACATTCATTTACTTTCTCGAACATGGTCAGCGTGAAAGTTTGTATCTCACTTGCAAAAGCACAAACTGTGTTCTGACTTTCAACATCTTCATTGACCAAACTGCAGACACGGGGAGCGTTTCCTCTGATTTGGGTCTGACAACAAGTGCGTGTTGGTGGGAAAACCCTGAGACGACGACGTAAACGTGGTTTCTCACCTGATTTTGAGCTCAGAGCGGGTCGTGAGGTTGGAAGAAAGCTGCTGGATGAGCGACAGCAGCACGGGCTGGCTGAGAGGGCAGGGGGTCTGACCGAACACCTGCTGAGAGTCGATGGTCTCACAGACGTACAAGACCAGGTTCAGATCCGTCGCGGACAGGGCCTGAGGGAGGAAAAATTTCAAAATAAGATCGAGGCAGTTTTATGACTTTAACTACTCATTTGTCGAGCACCGTTCCATCTGAAAACGCATCCAAATCTGAGCTTAAAGTCGTCATAATTCAGCAAAATCAGGTCTTATGTAAAAACAAGCTAAAAATAAACCACATTCTGTTAAAAAGTGAGCAAGTATGAA